ATGTAGATTCAGTCAAGGGTTTGTTGCTAGTAAAGTACAATTTTAAGCCTTTGTCTTGCTCAGAGTTCTATAAGTACATTGCAAGCCGACAAGGACTCAGAACAACAGATGCAAGCTACAGGAGAAGAGATTCCACCTCAACATTAGGAGGAACTTCCTGACAGTGACTGCTGTTCGACAATGGAACACACTCCCTTCGAGTGTAGTGTAGTCTCTTTCTTTGGAGGTATTTGAACAGAGGCTGAATGGCCCTTGTGGTCTCTTCCAATTCTATGATTCTAAGGTATTTTAACAAAGATAAGTTCATCAGAAAAATATGGTTGAGTACATAATAAATATACAGGAAAGCAACCATATGAAATGAATCTATATTTATATTAGCATATTTAGCTTTTATTTTGTAATGCCCTGCACTTATCTTGAATGTCCTATATTTTGGGATAACCTTTGTGGTTATGACATCTGGTCACCTTGGAAATATAGGGCCACAATGAGCCCATCATCAGCACATACAAGCCCTGGTAACCTAATACCACCATACATTACAGCCTTTTAAAATATTGTGTAAAGGCATTACACGGAACAATTACATTTTAAAGTAAAAATGACACCAGCTTTTGCAAGAATTGCCACCCTAACATGCCAAGAGGCAGGGAAACTTTTGACATTTCAGTTTGGCAGAAATTTGGAATATATCTTCATTCAGGGTCTAAGATTACGAGTCATTTTTCCAGAGCCAGAGAAAATTACTCTAGATTTTAAAAGAAGAATGCCAAGCTTTGGTCTATTACTTAGATTATTACCTTAGGCAAGACATTTTCACAGCCAGCAATTTCAAAGGTTTCTGGGCAGCTCAGGAAGGAAGATAAGTCTTCATAAAGCTGATTGACATGCCAAACCATGTGCCTAAGAGCTGAGTGGTACAATAGACTTCATAATAGAAATCAGAACATTCTACCCTAAAATCAGAGCTAACCTCTACACACAGACTTTTCCATTTGCAATAATATTTTTTTTTTAAAAAATCGTTTAAAGGCTGACATTTTAGAAGTTTTCAGATCATAGGAAAAAAATATGTATCGGCAAAAGTGAAGTGTGTTGGTAAAACTACTCTATGGGAAACCATAATCCTTGGGTCAGAAGTAAAGAGAGTGCTGAACAAGTGATTTTTCTATTTTTCTGATTCCAAATAAGACTTCCTTTTTTACTTCTCTGGCAATTTAAAATATTTCTGTTGCCACTTTTCCTATGAGCCATAAGGCACTTTGTTGTTGTGTGGCTTCAGGTAATTTCCAATTTATGGTGACCCTAAAGGTACTGTAAGTTGTATTTCTGAGGAAGGAACTGGCAAAACCACTTCTCTGTGAAACAGAGATGTAACTAGTGGGCTGCAGGAGGGGGATGCATTGCACACTGGATGACACTTTAGAGAGGGGTCTTAGTGGGGTGGTAACTCACCATCCATCCCAAGATATACACCCCCAGCCACCTCCAGCCACGAGCCAATGTGGTTCATTGGCTGCAAGTGCTGGTGGAGCTGTGCTGCTGCTGCTACCTCCCATAGAATCACAGAATCACAGGACGTTATCACACTTGCAGTAAGAGAGCGGCGAGAAAGCTGG